CAAATAAAAATCAAATCCTAACCCCATTAGAATTATATAATTATGCTAAAGAAAATATTCATATTCAATTTGAATATGTATCCAATCAAGAATATATTGAAGAGGAATTAGCCCTTCGTAAAAGATTTAATTCTGCACTGCCCATACATGGGACCCAAAAAATTCACGGGATTATTCCCATTGATCAAAATAAACTAAAAACCAAAATATATTCTAATTCCAAAAAATATAATATAAAACAAGTTCCGTTTTTAAATGAGAAAATTATATTTTAAAATATTAATGGATATATAACATGTGTATATGATGATAAATGGTGGTTAGGATATATAACCGATAAAATTTATACAAATGAAGAAGTAAAAATCCGATTTTTGCACCCTTGTGGACCTTCAGCCTCATTTAAATTTCCTTTGAAAGATAATATTTTAGTGTTGCCTAAATCTCATATTCTCTCGCTGGTCAATCCTTCTACTCCCACCAGTCGAACATATATATTATCTCCTGAAGAATCTCACAAGCTAGCCAGGCTTTGTATTCCTTTAGATAAAGTAAGATTTAATTAATTTATAAACTATCTTAATTAGGTAAAATTTGTGAAGATTTTAAAAATTTATGATCTGAATTACAAATAAATATATATAATGCACATTGTAATCGATTTAGTATGATATATATACATTAAAATATTTTTAATCAATAAAAAAAATGAATTTTAACATATTAAAACTATTATATATAGCGCCATCTATTTTTTCAAAAGTATAAAAATACGCAATATTTTTTTAAATAAATATCCAGCCATGCTAATTGTTGAAGAAATTATTAAAAAAATAGTAAACGGATAATATTTCTTAAAAAAATTAAAAATCGGAGATCATATACATTTCGAAATATTAATTTCAAGTTTTCAACTGACCATAAGATGACCCATATTTTATCAAAAATCAATTTTGATGTTTTAGCCATAATTATAAATTATTAACTTAGCTATTGATATTAGATTCAATATTTGATCATATTTAGTTTTAAATTAAAAACTAATTATTTAATATCAGTAAAAAGCAAAAAAAGACGTTTTTTGGACCTTTAACCCCGAATATCTCCGCTAATATAGTTTCTAATGCGCTAAAATTTTGTTTATAATCTAATGGGAACATATATAACCAGCCTACGAATTTTTATCGAAATCGAAAGGGGTCGGCCGAAAAGTGATTGATTTGACATGGAATGACCCGATTCTAAACCAGTCAGGTCCGAAATCGGAGATGCCATCATCAAGGAGAAGAATTTTCAAAAAGTTGCTAAAAGACTTATATCGAGATTTGGAGGTCTGCAATGTGAGAGTTTCTTATCATCCGATTGGCCTTTATTTTGGAAAAATGAAACTTTTCATCTGCCGGTCCATGGTTGTTTCAGTTTTTATAACTCGCTTCAATGTTTAAAAATTATATGATTTGTTGGTTTGGCCCTTTATTTATTTTTATTTTATTATATTTTTTTGCAATATTATGAAATATGAATAAAAAATATATTTGAATGAGCCCGTTTAGCTCATTTTGCCAGAAAAATATTTTACACCCTCTCATTCATTCATTGGTTTAAAGTATTTTTAACCCGAATACTCACTGCCCAATGTTTAATATTTATAACCCGCCAAAAGTTTAGCGGGTGGGCTCAGATACCTCCTATTGCAAATCTCTAATCTATATATTTAAATTTCCTAAGGTAATAATTATTGAACCAATATGTTTAAAAAATTCATAGCAAAAATATAACACTTAGTAAATTAACCATATAATGAAATATTTTATAGCGTTATCCACTAAATAAATCCAAAAATTCCAAAAAATAAATGTAAAAATATGGGATATATGTATTAATAAATTTTTGAATAATATGATGTCGATATTTGCATAAATATATTATTACTATTTAATTGTAGACTAAGGGCTTTGTTGTGCATTAGAGTTATCCATTAGGTGATTTAACAAAGATAAATAAAGAAGGAAGTCATAGATAGTCGTTCCTTGATTCTACTAAAAGCTAGGTTCCTATTCATCCTTTATAATTATGGGCCTGTGGATGTCCCTTGATACTGGCCTGCCATAGATTTGTGAACAAAAAAATTATTTCTCTGGCCTGGCGAAAAAATTGCTGGGCCGGACCTCAAAGATTTTATTATAGAGATCGATTTAAATTACAACTTAGGCAATAAATACTATATAATTAAAATAATATATATATTTTTTTAAACCTTATCCGTAAAGAACAATAAATTTTATTTAAAATACACAAAAATATTTTGTTAATTTTGAAAATTTATTAATTTTGTTTAAAAAATCAATCCACGAGTTGAATCTCGTTTTCTTTGCATTAAGGTGCGATAAAGTTGAATGAATGAATGGTTTATTTAAGATTTTGGTTTTTTAAAAAAAGAGTAATCTTTTTCTTTAAATATTCTAAAAAAATTGAATTTTTAACAATTTTTTATAAATTACCTTTCATTTCAATTTTATAAAATCATAGCTTGGGGAGGGACAAGACATGCGAGCCAGCGCTCTTAAATTATAAGACTCGCCAGGTCAGCAATCAGAGATCTGCATAAGTCAAAATATGAAAAATTTTATGGTTGAATTTTTTTGATAATAATACCCGGGCCAAAAATTATGTTATTTCTAATGATTTTTGGTGAATTTATAAATTGTTTTCGAGAAATTGAAAATACGAGGAGCCTTGATTGGTAATTTAACGCTCCGCTATATCCTTTTCTAACTTATATTTTTAATCATCATAAAAATTTTTAATATGTATAAAATCACAAAATACTATAAAATTTGATCAAATACTCATCACAGAAGATTTTTTTTTTGATGAGGCATTTCAAATTACTCTGGATTATTATATAAAATTTAAAAATATTTTGTAATAGAATAATTTTTTATACCCAGCCTGGGCTTTATTTTTCTAAAATCGCGGGCCCAGCCTTGATACGGACTCCAGGTCTCTGATATAAATAAGAGGTAAAATTGTTGAATAGTATCTTTTTTACAAAATTGTATAACAATTATCGTCGAAAGAATAATCAATACTTTTAATAAATCTTATGTCTATTAAACGCATTGAAGAAATAACTCTAACTAAACATACTTATATTATTTATATATGTAAGTATTTAAGTTTTTATAAAACCTTATGTTTTTTTGCTATTAAAAAAATACTTTTAATCATCTTAACCCCCTCTTTGGAATAATTTATAATCACGCTTTGTATAAATTTTAAAAACACTTTCTACCAGCATTATATATATTTTTTTTCGAATATTTAAATTGATTCAAATTATTGCAAACATTTTTTTTAAATTCTCAATTTATATTTTATTAAAGAAAGAAGAAAGAAAGCAAGTCTGTAAGAAAAACATTCACCACCGTTCCATTTATATAAATAGATGATCCCTTTTTGTCTTTTCGCATACCGTCACGTTAAATATTAATTTACCAATTTAACATCTCACAAATCACTTTGAATTGTGAAACATTATGAGAGTTTGTACTCGAGGGCTTTTATACCTACCTAAGCTAATGACGTTTATACTTCCATCGAAGATGACCACCCTCTCTCCCGCCACTCCTTACCCCCTCTAATTTTATTCAAATGACAATAGCAGTCATATACTACCTCCCTTAAATTTCAATGGCTATCTTGCATTATAAATCCCCACCTTGAATAGAAGTCACTGGCTGTACTACACTATACTTTTTTTTTATTGAAAACTTCCAATTATTTTCAAGAATAATAAAAAAAAATTTATTTTTACAAATACATACAAAAATTTTAATTTTTTTAGCCCTTTTATATAGATAGATCTTGTTTCATAAAAATATATTTACAGCTGGCATTAATTATTTATCGATTATCGAAGGGTGATTTATGAAAAAGCATAGCCAAATAATGTACTATTAATAAAACACCATTACATACTATGTGTATGTCTAATATAATAAGTACACAAGCATTAAAATTATTCAAGTTAAGAAGTTGCGTATGATTATAGATTTTGTGGTATATTAGTAGATTTAATATTGATAATATATATATTTAAAAAAATGATAAAAATAGTTTATAATCTTTGATTTATTAGTTTTTGTTTTATGGGGGGAGGGGGGTTAAATGAAGAAGATATTTACGAGGCAATTTTTTTAAAATAATTGCTGAGAAATTACTATTCTAATTTATTTAATGGCTTTACATCATTCGTCACATGGTATTGCGTTATTTTTAAAATATATAATAGTCTGGGAGAAGAAAAACATTTGAACCCCGGACAGTTTCCATTCTTAATTTTAAAGGCTGCTTATTTTTTCCCTAAAGCTTGCAAGAAAGCAAGGGCTATGCTTATTATGTTGATTATTGGGCGTAAAAATAAGGAAGAAAGGTAGGATTATTTGGAGCAGATAAACCTACCCATGGTATTCAACCGAAATGATAATTTTGGAAAAAGGTTGCCAATATCTGGATCATGTCGAATAGGCAAAAGTTTTACAACACCGTTTGAGAGTTTTAGAATTGATTCCAAACTTTAGGTTACTGTCAGTCTTGTGCCCAATTGCAACTTAAAATGCATCATTATTATTTAAAAAAATGTATATAAATAGCATAAAGGAAGCATATAAACTTATAAGTAGCTCTCCTAAACTAGCTTTTTCTCCACAGCCGTTTACTCTTTTAGATATAAGAGTAGCTTCAAATCTTGATTCACATTTCAATTTTTTGAATCAGCTAATGATAAAAATATTGCCTGCAATTTATTAATTCGTTGGAAAAGGATGCTGGGACTGCCTTTAAGGCTGATAGGTCATTTGGGTTATATTTTATATGATACTAAAAAGACAGAGCGTGGTCTTAAATACTTAGATGATCTAAGTTTTACCATCAAATTACAGATATTAGTTACATTTTATACCAAAATTATATATATTTTTATGTCATTATTTATACAGAACGGGAAGACCAGAGTATCCTTTGCACGTAAGTACATTTTTATATATAAACATTTTCTCTCTTTTTACAATGAATCATGACCCGATTCAAATTGTTGATTAGCATCTAAATCAATCTTATATTTTTTCTAAAATAGAATAAAATATAATTCTAAATAATTACGTTAGTAATTAGATAATACCAATCAAATTTTCGTCTTTATTTTATTAAATACTCATAAAAACTGTTTTTAATTCTACTTTGACTTGCTAAAACAATTTAATTATAAGTATAGATGACCTAAGAGGGGTGCTTGATTCCTTTATGTAGAGATATTGATTTAAACAATATGATATATTTATTTAGCTTATTTCACTATACCACTTTAATGAATTTGGTCAAATAAGAATAGAACATTTCCTTATTTTAAACATTTCTTTCTTTTTTTAATGCGCGGCGACGTAATAAAGTGGTGAGAGCGGGGCGGGTAAAACGGAAAACACCAAAAAAGTTATACAATATCTTGCCTACGTGGCAGCTTCTCATCGAACCAAAACTTCCGGGAACCCTTCCCATAGCAATCCATCCACACCAACCTCCAATAGCGGATCGGCAGTAAACACAACAACTCTATTAATATAAGCAAGAAATGGTGGGGAAGGAAAGAAAGATCGATAGATTTAAATTTTATTTTAAAAAAATCGAATTTTAAATTAGGAATGAGTAGGAATGTAGTATTTATTTGCACAATTTTTCTTATGTAATACTGTCAGAATCACGCTACCGTTTGCACGATCTTATTTTTTTATTTTACTTTGCACGATGTATCAAACTAATTTATATGAAATTTATTATACTTTGCATGCTATTTTCTTCTTAACCCTTTTTTTCTCATTTTAATTTTTGACCCATAAGCTTCAAGCCTATTTCTTGATGATGGTAAGTGTATATTATTATATTAAATAACAATTATTTTATTTATTTATAAATGCACATTATTTTGATTTATTTATTATACACTTTGGCACATTTATTAATAAATGGGGTTTTACTGATTTTTTTTGGGGGAAGCATAATTAATGCACTTAAGTATAGTATTTTTTTTTAAAAAAAAATATGCTTAATATGACAATTATACCTTATTTCAACTTGGGAGTATTCTTAAATAATGAGAAATATTTTTAATATTTCTAACGATTTCATTCATAGTCCAAAAATTTAAAGATGAATGATTTTCATAACTAAAAAAAAGAAAACAGAAATTATATCTTGTAAATCTTTTTAACAATTTAAGGGAGAACTCGAAAAACAATTGCTCAAAGCCAATCCCATACTTGAATCTTTCGGAAATGCAAAAACTATCAAAAACGACAATAGTTCCCGCTTCGTAATGATTTTCTTTTTCATATTTTTTACTCTCATTTTATTGCCATTATATATATATACATAAATATTTAAAATTTATGTATATTATATATTTTTTTAAGAGGCCTTCAAACCCCGGTCTAATATAAATCGCGGGTACGGGCTAGTTTTTTTTACAAATCTCGAAAGAGGTTTATTGACAGAACTTTATAGAAATAAAGGAGCGCATAGAGAAGTACATTTAAACTGACCTTTATAATTAAGTGGTTATTTGTAATTCTTACTTAATGAAAGAAAGAAAGAAAATTTATATACTCAAAAAAACATTTTAAGCTATATCGTTGGAACCATATTTTAAAAATTCAATATGAAATTTATCTTGCTTAGATGGATGAGTTACGATCATTTTCCTTTTTTTTAAAATTTCATGTCATAATCTCAATCTCGCCTAGATCAAAGCGAAAAAATAATTTATGCTCTTTTTATTTGGAGGTTATAATATATATAAATTACCTTTGTGTCATGTCAAAAAATTAATTTAATTTTTACAACTCTTTAGATAATTGTTATTTTTTTAAAAAATGTAATTTTTTTAGAGTTAAAATCAGGAGCCCAAACCTTAAAGAGGTTAAGTTCAAGTAATAATTTAAGGTTTCGGTTTAGAAATTTATTGAATCCTAGAACCCTGGTTGATATAGTAATAATATGAGGTGATATTTACTATTATAACGTAGACCAGACCGACTTGAATATTTAGATGTTCGAATCGTTTTAAACGAATAATCTATCTATTATTCGTCAGAATATTTAAAATTTTATAACTCAATCTGAAACCGAAAAATTGAATGCTTGTTTGATAAAAAAAATCGAATTGAATGTTTGTTTTGAGGACTTTTAGCATATTATTGATAATGAGTGCGTTGATTTTTTTATAAACTTTTGTTGTAATATATATATTTTAATAAAAAACAAATACTAAAACAGGGCAAATTCATAAGGGTAAACTTTGATACCTCTGGTTACATTTCCGGCGCCAACATAGAAACATGTAAATATTATATTCAAAATAATATCTAACTCGCCTTACAACCGTTTTCGAAGTGATGAACGATTTTAAAACTTTAAGAGCGGAAAAGATCAAAACCTTTATATAATATGAAAAAGAAATTTAGTGAATTATTCGATTTCTGGATTTTTAAGATCACATTTTTTTATATTACAAGAACATTATTTATCATTAATTATTTATAAAATATATTATTTTAAACTATTTATAAAACGAATCGTTACTAGATTTACTAGAAAAGGCGCGCGTTAATAGACAGGCCAAAAATGAAAGATCCTTCCATATATTCTATCAAATCTTGCTTGGCGCCAACGAAAAATTAAAAAGTAGAACATCATTCGCTTATAATCTATTCATTTTTGTTAAAATCATTATTAAAGATATTCTTTAAAATTTAATAGTTGTCAATGATGTTAGCATCTTAAATGAATACCTAATCTCACGAATTAACTTAGTTTTTTCCATTTTCGATACCTAAAAAATAATGAGTTAAACGTTAATTCCCTTACTAATTTTTATAGATGAATTATATTTATTTGGATCCTTCATTTTACTAAAAAAAACTTACTATTATTTATTTATATTTATAGCCTTGAATTCTTGATAAAATTATAATCATCCGAATCTCAATGTCTGTCTAACCAATTTCTCTCATTTATTTATTACAAACTATTTTATAAATTTTTTATAGGTGAATTACTGCTCCAGAATATAAAAACTTACAGTTACATATCCAATGGTAACGTATTAATCCCTGGAATTGATGATAGCTCTGAATTTGAAAACACCATCGCCGCTATGAAGATTATGGGCATGGAGAATAATATCACTTGTATACATTTATGATTCAAAAACTTTATTTTATTAACTTAATTCAGAATTTTTCGGTATATCTGGTCATTGAGTTAGGTGTATCTCGGAGATTAAATCAAGTTATTTTTCAAAGTAAATAAAGTTAAAAAGGAGATCAAGCAATCTTAACCATAATTTTTTTTACCCTGATTGAAAAAAGGGAAGTGGAATTCCTTTAAACGAACAGCAATCCTTAATAAAATATCCATTGATAACATGACTATGTTCTATTGGGTGTTACTTATATTAATATAATTCTTTAAAAAAAATTTTTTTTATAAAAATGAATTAACAGCCATATTACGAATTATATCGGCCGTTCTTCAATTTGGAAACATGGAATTCCAAACTGAGAGAAAATCTGATCAAGCTACCTTACCGGATGACACAAGTTATATCTAATTAGAATATATTATATTTGTATATTTGATTAATATTGAACTTGTTGTAAAAAATATAATAACGTAACAAAACATAATTATAGCCGCTCAAAAAATAGCGTGCCTTTTAGGCTTGAACGTATCCGAGATGATAAAAGCCCTGCTAAAGCCGAAATTAAAAGTGGGGAGAGATTTGGTGACAAAGGCCCAAACTAAAGAACAGGTTTGTTTGTGTGTGATTTTATTTTATATTAATTTTTTATTCCTTTTTAAGTTTATGATAAATGTGATACCTTAAACTATTGATTAAAATATAAAAAAATTTAGGTCGAATTTTCGGTCGAAGCAATTGCTAAAGCAACATACGAAAGGTTGTTTCGATGGATAGTGAGTAGGATAAATAAATCGCTCGATAGAACAAAAAGGCAGGGGGCTTCCTTTATCGGTATTTTGGACATCGCCGGCTTCGAAATCTTCGAGGTAATTCCATATATACAAAAAACGATTTTTTTGATTAAATTACGATTTTTTTGATATTTAAAGTAAATTTATAATAAAATAAAAAATAATATAAAATAAATATACCCCATTGAAAATAATAAAGACTAAAAATCGTTCTTCATTAACTATGATTATTAAAATTTAATTAATATTTTTATATAAACTATAATTAAATTAATATTTATAAACTGCATATTCAGTGCAGAAATAAAATTTATTTTATAGCTTCTTATATTTAAGCAATATAAAAATGATTTATGTTAAAAAAGTCTCTTTTTATAAAAAAAATTAAATTCAACACTTATTATATATATAACGATAAAGCTATTCAAGCTTAATCAATACTCTTCCGTTAATGTATTTCCAATTCAAAACCCACTCTTTTTATTATATTTTTCTTGTACACAATTCAAATCGATAAATTTTTAATCTTTATTCACAACTTTATTTTAAAATTCTTATTATGCATAATTTTCAAGGGAAATAAAAAACTATATTTTTTGCCCATTATATATTCTAAAAAATTTGTAAAATAATATTATATTTATGAATAACTCTTAGCAATATTTTAAAACTGAATATAATAAATTAATTATTAATGCCGAATACTATAGATTTTTGCATGCTATAAAAAATGAATATAAAACAAATATATCAACATATTGATATTATTAATCGTAAATAGCTCTAAAAAAATGTGATAACGAGAAAAAAAGAAAACTTCGACTTTATATTTAATACCTTATTTTTGAGATCCTTCATAACAATTTTCAAAGGGCTTATTATGATAAAAATTTAGGAATAATATAACATAAAATATATAATAAAATTTGGAACTTATATGCAAAATTTAGTTAAACGTGGTATACGAATTCTTGGCGCAGTATGCTATATGGGGTAATAAGAAATCATTTAAAACAAAAAAGTTAATAATAAGAAAAAATTGACAAGAAATAAAATTGATTTAAATCACTTGATACTTATTCATATGATTTTTTATACATTATTTTATTGTCCACACACCTTGACAGAAAAATTCGTTTGAACAACTCTGCATAAATTACACGAACGAAAAATTGCAACAATTGTTTAACCACACCATGTTCATTCTCGAACAAGAGGAATATCAAAGGGAAGGCATCGAATGGAGGTTCATCGATTTTGGCCTCGACCTACAGCCCACTATAGATTTATTGGAGCGTAGACCCATGGGAATCTTGGGTATATTATTTTTTTATAGAAGTTAAGTTGTGGACATTACTTGATTTATTTAATTTATATCCTGGATCCAAACATACTAAACAAGAACTCATTTCTTCCCAAGATTTAATCTTTATTATGATTCCTTAACAAATCATACAGCTTTACTTGACGAAGAATGCTGGTTCCCTAAAGCTACAGACCAATCTCTCGTTGATAAATTAGTTAATGCCCACGGGACCGGAGCCGGAACAGGTCTCGCCCACCCAAAATTCGCTGGGCCAGACTTTCGAGACAACGCTAAAACTAGCTTTAGTGTTGTTCATTATGCTGGAAAGGTTATATATTTTTTAAATAGTAGAAAATTACTGTTTTTATATTAGCAAGGTTTATGCTACTTGGATCTTATTATTAAAATAAGTCTTATTTTTTATGTGCTGATACTAAATATTTCTATATTACGGATGCTATTTAAATGTGTATATAATTGTTTATAAGGTCAGATTCTTATATGGTAAAGAATCGTTAAATTTTTCTGTTATTTCACAGGTCGATTACTCCGCTGATCTATGGCTCATGAAAAACATGGACCCTCTTAACGAAAATTTAGTTTCGCTTCTCCACAATTCTCAAGATCCATTCGTGGCTCTCATTTGGAAAGATGCCGATATCGTCGGTAATAACAATCATATATAAATAAAAATATTACCAATACCGAGAGTTAATAGATTTGCCAGTTTATATGTATCAAAAATATACCTTTTTTAATATTAAAAATGCACATTCTGAAATCTAATTTTCTGATAATCATGATCAAGCAAAAATTGAGGTTCAATTAGACATTTTGCCTACCATAGTTTCTTTTAACGAATCTTAAATAGAGTTTTTATATTGAAACACTCATATAGGTATGTCCTCAGCTCCCGCCATTAATGGTTTTGGTGGTAATTCTAATTCACCTGCCGGAGGTAACAACGAAAATAGTTCGCCATTTTTCAATTTTGCCGCCAGAAATACTAGAAAAGTTAGCCCACATTATTTTAATATTGTGTGAGATAAATTTTTTATTACATTGTAACCTCTACCCTCTTGCTTATGTTTTTTTATCGACAATATTTCCTTAGCCGTAGAACTTAAGAAATTATCGTAATCCTGTTATTTACTAGCGGGTGAACACTTAATTTAACTAAAAAATATTATCCTTAAAAACTAGGAATTTTTATTAACGTATATCTTCTGCACAGAACTATTAAAAGTAATTTTTCATCACTTCTATAATAGGGTATGTTTAGAACTGTAGGACAGCTGTACAAGGATCAACTCAACAAACTTATGACCACACTTCATAATACAAACCCCAATTTCGTTCGATGTATATTACCGAATCATGAAAAAAAAGTGAGTTTTTTTTCTCCATCCACAAAAGTTATTTGGTTCTTTTAAAATCATTATTTTTTAATATAGAAATAAAATATAAAATTTTTATCTATTGTTTCTTTTCTATTAGAGAACATTTAAAATTTTCTAATCTTTATAAACAAATAATTAGCCCGGAAAAATAGAAGCTGGGCTTGTGCTAGACCAATTGAGGTGTAATGGTGTCTTGGAAGGTATACGCATATGTCGACAGGGTTTCCCTAATAGGATAGCATTCCAAGAATTTAGGCAAAGGTGAGTCATCTTTATTTAAATTTTTTTATGCAAATGTGCATAAGAACTAGCGGCGCTTATTTTGATATAGATAAGGAGCTAGTTAGTGAATGTTTAGTATCACGTGACTTTGTTTAAAAGAAAAATATAATTTTCAGTGTTTGTTGAAGATTTTTCAAAAAAATATTATATACATGTTTCTACTAGATATGAATTTCTGACACCGAACGCCATCCCCAAGGGATTTATGGACGGCAAAAAGGCTTGTGAGGAGATGTTAAAAAGCTTGGAACTCGATGAAAATCTGTTTAGAATAGGGCAAAGCAAAATTTTCTTTAGGGCCGGCGTATTAGCTCACTTAGAGGAGGAAAGAGATTTGAAGCTGACACGGATCATAGTGCAATTCCAAGCATTTTGTAGGGGAAATTTGGCTAGGAAGTAAAATATTCAAATTTGCATTATAAGTATAAAAAAACGTCTATTGATAAGTATTTTCTAAGAATTAAAGGCATCAGTAGAGGTGTACTCTTGTTTCAAAATGATAATATCTTGACATAATTATTTATGTTATACTTGAATTGATATTTTTATTTGCATGTGTAAGGTAATTTGTATTTATAATATCAAATTAAGTAGATATGGTAAATTTATACAATTGTGTAAATATAATAACACATTTTAAAGAATGTACAAGAGGAGGCTGGAACAAATGAACGCTATTCATATTTTGCAACGAAACATGGCTGCCTATCTGAAACTCAGAAATTGGGCCTGGTGGAGACTATTCACTAAAGTTTTTTTTTTCAATTATGATTCTGAAAATTCGTTTTTATTTATTAAGCATTGCCATATTTTTTATTAACTCTTGCTCTGTTATTAAGACCCATAGCTTAACATGCAACATATAATGGCTTGGTTTCATTTTTCCCCTTAATATATTTATAGGTTAAACCCTTGCTCCAAGTAACAGGTCAGGAAGAAAAATTGGTGGCCAAGGAGGAAGAAACCAAGATTTTGGCCGAAAAGTGTGAAAAACAAACCCTCTACGTGAAAGAACTCGAAAGCAAATACCAGGGCTTGTCGGAAGAGAACAACATACTCAACGAGCAATTGCTGGCCGAGATAGAATTGTGCGCTGAAGCGGAGGAAATGCGGGCTAGACTCGTTAAAAAAAAGGAGGAGTTAGAGGAAAATCTCAACGATTTGGAGGCCAGGTTACTATTTTATTTTGAAAATTCCCTATTGTATTCGTTTTTTAGGGTCCTTCCATTTTTTTTATTCTAGATTACGATTATAATGTTATTGCTTTTGGATAAATATAAGAATAACTGAGCCAATAAGCTTTGTATTTAATTATAAACAGGGTTCATATTAAAAATCTTTTCATATTTTAAAGGGTCGAAGAGGAGGAGAGTAAAACGGAAAGTTTCCTGAAAGAGAAGAAAAGGCTAGCTCACGTGCTCGAAGAAACCCGACAAATGCTAGTCAATGAAACCGAGACGAGAGCTAAAATGGCCCTTGAAAAATCGGGAATGGAAGTTCGGCTCAAAAGAGTCGAGGAAACTTTAATCGGGGCCCAGGACGTCAATGAAAAAGTTTAAAAAAATAATGCTTGTGAGATGAATAAGTTAGCTGGCACTAGGGACCCGGAGTGAAGTAATGAACCGTTAAACCATTATAAACCTTTTTAAATATCAGAACCGTAATCGAACCGATATAATTATTTTTTGAAAAAGTAAAAAGTAAAAAGAACCTTTGTAAAAAAAGGTTAAACCGGTTCAGTTTTTATATTTTAGGGATCAAAAAATTTTTAATATCCAGAATTATATAAAATTGCTCTTATAATACAGGCAGTTCCCGCAACACAAGTTTCTGTAGAAAGGGCCTTTTCGGAGCTAATATTTGTGTTATCGTCACAACAAGAATCCATTTATATTAGAAAATATATTACTTATAATATATTTAAAAATGAGTTATTTTGAATCTTATATATTTTTTTTATATATAATTCATAGATGCTTATAATAAAAATAAATTAGACGATGGTGTTGCTTCAATAAAAAAAAATTTCTAACCGTAATGAACCATTATGAGCTGAACCGAACCGAACCTTTGTAAATTTTTTCTTAAGAACCGTAAACAAAACGTAACCATTATAATTTTTTACATACTGAACCGTAACCAAACTGAATTGGCACCCTCAGCAATTGCTTATTAAAATAGGGTCAGCATTGACTTAGGGGGGGGGGTTTAGAGGTCCCTGGTTGGCAGGAATGATGGAAAAATTTAAATATGAACAATTTTAGTTTTTTTAAAATTATTATTTAATTTTGTATCAAATAGTTGGTAAAAGATCGCAAAAATATGGAGGAACGCTTGGAGGAAATGTCCCAACAACTTACTAAGGAAGAGGAAAAAGGCAAGCACTTATCTAAACAGAAAAACAAGATGGATAATCTGGTTCTCGAACTTCAGGATCAATTAAATAGGTTGGATTTTTTTTATCATTTCTTATGTTGAATATGCAATAAAAAATTTGCATTTTCGGGGGGATAATTCTGTCAGTCACTCTCATAAACTAGAGGGATTTATAGAGGATAGTTTGGAACTTGGGATTAAACTCGAATATTGTTCAGGTGGTTTCAACATTTATAAACGAAACAAAAATTAAATTACTTAACAGAGAAACAGCCTTCAAACAAGAACTCGAAAAGTACAAATGCAAACTCGAAACAGATTTGAACGATTTTAAAGAGCAGCTTAACGAGAAAGTAATCAAGGTGGAAACTCTACAGACCCACCTCCTTCACAAAGAACAAGAATTGACCAAATCCCTCTCTAAGTTTTTTTTGAATATATACTTTTTCCCACTTATTTTACAATTTTTATTAATTATATAAACTATTTGTGAGCTTTGGCTTGAAAAATAATAATAATTTTGAATTAGATTATGATATATAACATATCAAATTATACTTGTTTTTTTTGTGCAAAGTCTAATTAAATATTTTAATATAATATTTTTGCTTTTATTTATTTAAATTAACAATATAGTATTTTAAATGTATTTTTTTAAACAATCTTTAATTTTTAATATATTCTCTTTAGGTATATTTTACTAGAATATTTTGAATATAATATAGTTTGTCTTAAAAGATTTTTTTGAGAATGCTCAAACATGATTCTTGGTCAAATTTTACCTAAAATTTCAATTTTTTTTATATATAATCATTTAAATATTTTGATATTTTTAAAAAAAAATCTTAATATGTTGAATTTGTCAAAGGAAAAAAAAATAAACGAAATATAATTTATGATTTTAAAAGATATTTTTTGCAAAAAATATCTTTCAAAAATTAGAGTTATATAATCGATATTATTAATCGACGCCGAATATAATTTTTTTTAATTAAAGAGGGGACGAGGACAAAGCCATAATAATGTCGCTTCAAAAAACGATACGCGAACTTGAAAGCGTAATAGCGGATCTCAACGAGGACATAGAGTCCGAAAAAAAGGCCCGGATTAGAGCTGAGACCCAAAAAAGAGATTTGGAAGATGTAAAAAAAATAAAATTATTTAAGTTTTTCTTATATTTTGGAACCTAAAAAAGAAAATATTATTAATTAAAATCCACCTTTTGGGGGTGGGGAGGGGGCAACGATTTTTTAAAAAAATATCTTTATTATAAAATACAAGCAATTCGAGTCACTCAAAAGTGAACTAGAGGACACTCTCGATACGAACGCGACGCAACAAGAAGTAAGGAACAAACGGGAAGCAGAACTTTCCAACCTAAAAAAGGCCCTGGAAGAGGAATCAACTAAAAGGGAAATTCAAATTGCCGATCTTAAAGCCAAATACACTACGGCTTTAGAGAAGCTAAATGACCAAATCGAGAATTTTAAAAAGGTAATTATTATTTGTGTAAATAAAAACTTTTAATTGATAAGGATGCGGGAGACTTAAAAGATTATAAATTCAACGCCCGAGTCACAGAGAAAAGCTAAGCTATATAAAGGAATAAGGCGCAACGATATCACCTTTTATTTCAGTCGATGGCTATAAGAATTTCTATTTCAGTCATTATGATACTCGCTATTTATTTTCTAAAGTTAGCTTAGTGAATGCAACGGTCCCGTCCTGTCCGATCCCTTTTTTCTAAAATGAGACCTGACCGATGGACCGTTAAGTCAAATGAGACCGGACTGTAGGACCATCAATTCCCGGTCCGGTCCCATCTAAATTTTTTTATTATGAAACTACAAAAGTATTATTTTGCATTAAATTTATTAAAAATGAAAAGTGTTAAATTACCAATATTTTAATTATAACATCAAATCATTTTTATTATATTGTACAATACAAATGCCTAATATTCCATTAGAATATTAAAATACATATTTATTGAACATAATTTAAATCAATTTGATTTACATATTTAATTAGTTTTTTTGATATATATATAATGCGATAGATATTTGGTTATAATATAAATTATATATAAATAAATATTTTAACTATCTTCTAAAATATCCATGATTCAAGTGTCATTATGAACCATCTCTGGATTCATTCTATTTCGTTTTTTTGTTATTTTATCATTTGTACATGCACATTAACTAAAAGCAATCATAGTATAGTAAACTTTAACTTCTTTAATCGGTCTTCGGTCGGACCGGGCGAGACCATCGGACCGTGTTGTCAGACCGGATCGTCCCGTAGGACCCAAGAGTTTGAGAAGACCGACTAGGACCGGACCGTCGGTCCGATTGACCCATTGCAAACACTATGTTAATTTAACACCACACACTTTCTTATCCAATTTTAAAATTTGTAAATAATAGGGATATCGTTAGTAAAGGAGCATCTCTGGAATAAGGATTTTTTTAAAAAAAAAAGATTTTCATTCTCTTAATATCAGCGCTTAAACACCAATAATTTATTTTAGATAGCGAAAATTATAAGATTTTGTTGAGGACTCGTCTGGATGTTATATAATTTTTTTCTTATCATCTCGAGTAGTGTAAGCTGATTTAGATTAAGGAAATTGAAAGCGAAAATCGCTGGTTTGTTTTCTGAACTTTTAGATTATACATTATTTACAAACTAACCAAATTTCAGAATAAGAATGCCCAGGAAAGACTAAAAACAAACCTGGAAGCTGAAAACATAGATCTGGTTAACGAAACCAAGTCCCTTTTATCGGCCCGAAACGAAGCTGAAAAGCGTCGCAAAATCGCTGAGCTCGGCTATTCTGAAGTGATGCGTCAAGTCACCGACCAAGCCGCTGTAATTACTGAATTACGCGAGCAAATCGTCCGGCTACAAACTGAGATTGACTCCGCCAATCATAATTTGGAAGGGGAATGCTTAAAATCCAATCAATCGGCTAAGGTTTTTTATCAATCAATCACATTGATTTTAAATTTTGACCAAGAATTATTAAATTGTGTTTACTTAATTAACCAGTTGGATTTATAAATTCATGACTGAAAATGACGTTTTATTAATTTATTTTTCCCTAAGTCGAGATATTTTATTTAGGGATGATAAAAACTTGTTTATTTTTTGTACATTTTTTGAAAACAAGTTTTACATCTTTAATTTTATTATAGTTTTTTTTTACAATTTTAATAGCATTTATCTAAGGGTAAGGCCGAAGGCATAAACTCCCCTCCCCTTCCCCCTCCTAAATCCTAGGACAATCTTTAATTAATCTAAATTTGTCTATATTTATTATTAAATGGCTAAATAACTAATTAAAGGGTTTTTTAAATCATAGTTTACTAGTGCTATAAACATTTCTAAAAAATCTACGTTCACGTTTGTTCAAAACTTTATGAATAAAATTTTTAAAAAAATTCCATTTAATATAAATAAAAATCATATATAACATAATATATTAGCCATGTTTAAATTTAATAGTTTTAAAAAAGATTTCTTTCTAATTATAAATATCTATAAACTTTTATATATCATATAAAATTTAATTATTTATAAAATATATAAATTTATTATACTTTAAATTGTGTTTAACTATTAAAGTATAAAACCCTTGTTAAAAACTTAAAACTAATAGCGAAATTTCAAAACATTAAAAATAAATAAATTTTAAAATATATTAACTATTTTATATCTTTAAATGATTTTTGCTTATAATCATAATAATTTAATAAGCCTATTAAAAACAATAATCTAGAATAAATTATTACCAGGATATTTATAGTTAGTTTTATTTTATAAAAAAATAAATATTACAATCAAGTATCTCTTTAAATTAGAACTAAACGGATATTATACTTTTTGGGCACATTTTATATTTGGTAAGGATAGAATTAATTTATTTATAAAATGTTTATTATATTTTGGTCATGATATAATTCATTTGATTCTGAATTTTCAGAATCAGATTATGAAATGACAACATCCATGCTTACGTAATCTATAAAATATAAATAGTAATATTCAATTTAATAAATTAGGGACAGAAATAGTGGGTGGTTAAAAAAAATCAAATGTCATAAAGGAAACAGTTTGATAAAAAATAATCCTATTTTAAAAAATTTGGATTAATATTAAATTAATACATTTATTTTCAAATGAATAGAAATAAGATTTTCTATAATTGAAATAACGTAAAAAACGAACACGTTCGTCAAAGAAGGAATGCGTTCACGTTCAAAGTCCGTCAAAAATAAAAGGAGATCATTTTTTCCCAAAAAAATGAACTGCTTTTCAAAATTATATATAGATGTGTGAAAAAATTTTTTGTGTGTATGTTTACTTAATTTAACTAAGATTATAGCAGGACTGGAACAGTCAGTTGGCGAAATTCAGGAGAACCTATTTGAAGAAACTCGGTGCAAATTATCGGCTCTGGCAAAAGTTAGGGATATCGAAAGCGACTTAGAAAGGGAGCGAGAAAAAATTCCCAGGTTAACTAAAGAAATTCATACCACGACAAATCAATGTATGGCATTGACTAGCACGGTAAGTCATATTAAATTATCAAAGATCCATTTTTTTCGAATATTATTTGTTCGCTCTATTTCTTTCATGTTTATGATCATTGGTTGATAATTTTCAATTTATATTAAAGGGAGGTATTTTTATTAGAGTAATTGGCTTAATGGATATTTTTATTACTAAATGACAATGTATGAATGATTAATATTTGGCGAAAAGTTGTATAATAACCTGCACATTCGTCCATAATATTTAATAATATATTTCCCTATAATGATATTCCCATTCAACGAGATTAATAAGGTCCTACTTTTTGCATCAATTCAATGTTTAGGCATTTATATTATTTAATCACATTTTTGGATTCATTCGTTTCTCAGTTGCCTCCTAAAAGTCGTGTCTAATTTTAAAACTATGAGTGCCATTCTCGTTGAGGCATGTTATAATATATAGACAGAATTATGAAATAAAACTGTCTTTTTGAATCTATCATTTTTGCTTTCCTTATACATTGGCTTAAAAAATGATGCATAAAATATATTATTCGTAGTCGATTCAATAAATAATCATTCTTATATTATCGACAAGATGAGACATATCCACAGATATTTTTTTTATTTTTTCTTTTGTTCAAGACAAATTCAAATATTAAATAAATTTTTTTAAATATAAAAAAAATTTAGAAAATTTATTTGATATTATATTGAATTATTTTGAGATTTATATAAGTATTAAATAAGACGGTATATATATATATATTTAAAATTATAATAGTTATACTTATTATTAAAAAAATTTATTTTAAAAAACCGGGAATAATATTTGATAAGAATTATTTATATTTATAAATACTCTAAAATAAATTATTTCATAAAGAATTCTGACCTCAAGGCCAAGCTAAGCGAAGTATCTAAGGAGCTCGAAGCCCAAGAAGAGACTAAGAAGAACTGGTCGAAAGATATGGAAGACGCCATTACTCAAATCAACGCCCTGACATTAGCTAACGATAAACTCGACAAGACTAAGAAGAAATTGCAAACTGAAGTAAATTTTGTCAAATTTTTATTCAAAAAACATACCTTTCAACGCTAACTTTAAAACCAAACTAGCTATCGGAATATTTTACATTCGGAACTGTTGGAACTTTCCCGGATAAACAGTTCCAATTCTGCTGTTTTTTTCAAGCTCTGTTCCCGGAACGTGTCCGAAACGAAACGTTCAATTCCATGTTCCTGATTATAATAGACTATTAAAAATGATTAGGTGTATACTTTGAATTAATTTAATGCCTTACGGATTTTATACTTCTCTTCCTTTTTTTTTACAGAATATTGATTTTAAAAAATATATACTGGGATTTAAAGTCTAATAATCCGATATAAACGAAATATCCCGGACAAAAATAACCCAGCTTAAACAAATTTTTTGATTTCCATAGAAAAGGGGTTAAAAATTATTACCTTATCATACTTTGGGTAATTTATGTCCCGGAGTTTTTAGAATTCATTCTGATCAGATGAAACACAGGAGGCCAAAAAAGAATTAACGTTTTCGAACTGAATATTTTAACAAATTTAGATAATGGGATACCCTGATTTTTTAAAAATAAATGATTCCTTTCTCACAGTCCTATTCAATATTATTACTTGTATCAAAAATAAAGCTCGAAGACTGCATCCTATATCTAGAAAAAGAAAAATCCAAGGTTTCTGACCACGAAAAAAAACAAAAGAAATTTGATTCTTTACTCTCGGAACAAAAGAGTGCGGTGCTAACAATTTTAGAAGAAAAGGAAGCCTGTGAAAGGGAGTGCAGAGATAGGGAAACTAAGGTTACTCATTTATACCGATGTATTAATTGGGACGGTAAACCAACACTGTATACAAGTTTTTTAAGTCTCGTAGTGTCATTTTTTGGAGACAGTATTTTCTTGTCATTTACTTAGTATCGGAAAAGGACACTAGGGGGGTTTAAAAAAAAGAGTTTAACCTTAAATATATAATAATATAATCTCAAGCATTTTATTTTTCAATAGGTGTTGTCGATTCAAAGAGAATTGAGCGAATGCTTGGAAAAACTCGCTGCCAGCGAAAAGGTAAAGAAACAACAAGCTCTCGAGCTCGATGAATTAGTTTCTAATAAAGACGACGCTGGAAAAAATGTATATAATTCTTTTCTTATTTAATTATTGTCAGGAAATATATATATTTATAAAGAGAAAATAATGAAGTCTAAAAGAAGATTAAAGTGTCAATTAAAAATGCACAAACTGTTTTTTGTTTTAAGTGTTTTACAGTTACTTTGAAAGGTCATTACATTTTAGATAAGGCTTAGATACAAATGTAAATAGCCTCTTGTAAATATGAATTGATAATAACACATAATATCAATTAAATAAATCCATATTCTTACAAACTCTGCTTTTATTTAAGAACATTTTAATTTAAGTGGCTAGATACCCATTTAACGCTAATATAAGTCTATTTTTTTTATAAAATAGGTGAATATTTTTTTAATAAAATAGGTAAATATAAATAAAAATCAAATACTCTTTCTTTTTTCAAACAAATTTTAAATGCCAAGTGAACAGTATTTATCTAAAATTGTGTTAGTTACTAACACACTCCCCTAAAAAAGAATTTAATAATTAACAATGTTTCTCTAAGATTAACTTTTAAAATTTTGATCTTCTGAGAAACATTATAAATGGGTTATACTGGAGTTACCTAAATATGCTATAATAAATTTATTTGGAAAAATTAAAGATAACTAGAAATTGTCAAGGATATACTGTATATCAATATTGTTCATTCATTATTTCTTCGCAACCCTGAAAATTTTTTTAAACATCATTTTAGTACCATGAACTAGAAAAGAACAAGCGTTCGCTAGAAAACGATGTAATTGACCTGAAATCAAGACTCGAAGAATTGGAAGACGAACTCCAAATAAGCGAAGATGCCCGACTTAGGCTGGAGGTCAATATTCTAGCCGTGCAGAAAAATTTCGAAAAGGAAAGAAGCCACAAGGAGGAAGAATATGAAGAAAGAATTAGGTTCTTGAATAAAAAGGTTTGCAAACATTTTTCATATCTTAATTTTTGGAACCATATTTTAAATTATGTGAGTGAGTTTTTATATATCGAGATTCATAAATCTTCACTTGACTCAGTAGCCCTGTTGGGAGAGGAGGGGGGTGTACAGGGTACTTAACAAGCCCTCTTAAAACTTAGGAGACTCTTAAAATATTTTGTCAGATTTTTGATAGAATTACCTTTTTTGTAAATGTTTAAAATGTGAGACCCCTCAAATTTATAAGGAAGCCATGCCACTAACTTTCTAATTTCAATGGTGTATTTTTTTAAAAAAAGAAGATCTTTCAAATATTAATCGAAGTGTAGTTAGAATTCTCTAACATTCAATTTATCGAAAAAATTATTTTAAAGCTAAAAGGCGTTGAAACCGAATTAGACGAAGAACGTAAACAAAAGCCAAATTATTTGAGCATCAAGAAAAAGTTGGAGACCGAAAAAAAAGAATTGCAGAATCAACTCGAATGTGCCATAAGGGCAAAAGACGAAACCATCAAACTAAGCAAAAAATTACAGGTTTTGAAAAACAAGATTATCAAGAGAAATTATAAAATAAAATTTACTTTTAATTTCTTTCCTTTTTTTCCAAGATGGGCTGTGCCGAAATGCAGAAGGAATACGAATCTATGTCGCAATACAAAGAAGAAAGTCAGGCAAGAGAAAAAGATTTTGAGAGGAAGATCAAAATTTTGGAGAGCGAATTGAGCATAGCGCAACAGGAGGCCTCGTCAAATGAACGGTACAGAAAGACCGCCACTTTTGAAAACGAGGAATTGCTAGAACAGATTGCCACATTGAATAATTTGAAGTTAGTAGTTATTACACGTAAATTTTTCAAAATTTAAAAAGAATGAAAGTCGAATTAAACAATTAACTTGTTCTTTTCCTAGCATTTAATAATTTTAACGCAAATCGCCTTTTAATATTCGTTCTTGAAGGTAATTTTATATTGGATATTTTAAGTCATTCACCAATAGATCAGGAGGTAACGCCATCTCTATTTGCCTTAAAAAATTACTTATTTTTCTTCATCGTTTCTACCTCTAATTGATTACTAGAAGCTAAGAATGCAATCGATTTTAAAATAAACCATTTTGACCAAAGTTTTTAGAAATACATTTGAGCGAGCCAAGTATTATGAAACCCCCGTCAGTCTTGTAGATGTGTAACCACAGGTCTCTAATTAATATATAGATTAATATTTTTTTTAAATAATTTATTCCTGAAAGAAATCAATGCATGGAAGATAAACGTAAGTTTGAAACCAAAGCCACGGTGTTGGAAGATGAATTGGAAGAGGAGCAAAGCAACGTCGAAATGGCGGAGGAAAGAATTGCTCGACTACAAGCTCAAGTTTTCTTCTTCATAATATTATTTACATATTTTCGCATTTTTATGGAAATAAATCTTTAATTCAAATTTGTTGGTTTCTTTTGCAGTTTTCATATTTGAAACGTTCTGAGAAGCCAAGAATGTTTATATGAGTACGCGAAAAGTTTTGTAACCTCTGATAATTTTTAAAAATATCCTGTTCTCCTACAACATTCCTGGTACCTAACTCGTAATTATCATTTTGCGATCTAAAATACGAACGAGAAAAAATACACTATTTCCGATATCATCAGCCTCCTGTTGACTATGTTAGTCTCCCATATTGGATCTTTCAAAATTTTACGTCTATAAATTTTTTAACCCCCATTTATTAATATAAATTTATTTCGAATAACAGATTGACGAAATTAACTCGCAATTAGCTTACGAAAAGGCCCAGAATCAGAAATTCGAAATGCAACTCGCGAATTTGGATCGAATAAATAAGGAGATGAAGGTCAAACTCTCGGAAAATGATCACATGGGACTCAAAAAACACAAAAATATTGTGACAGAGCTTGAAGCCAAGATATCGGAATTACAAGATACCAACGAAAATAATTTGAAGTTTTTTTTTTACTTTAATTAATATTCTTTAAACAATTTTTTAAATAAAGATTTAGTTTTAAAACAAATTAATTCTGTGCTTATATTAAAAAAAAACTCTTCGTCATCTAGTTAAGCGAACATATTTTTTTTGAATGAATTTATGTAAGACTGAATTTCAACATCTTACCTCACAACTTAGTAACAATTAAACTTGTCTTATTGTGTCTATTCTGATCCTCGCAGAAAAAAAGGAACGTTTGTAAACATTATTAACGACGGAAAAAATAAAATAATATTTATAATAAATTTAAAGGGAATGTCAAGCTGTAAATAAAGCCAACAGAAGACTAGACAAGCGTATTCGAGAGTTGACGTTACAAAGGGACGAGGAGCTCAAGAACGCAGAACAGTTGAAAGAACAGGTCTGTTCTAACGTTACTTTTTTAGTTAAATATTTTTTTTGCTTAGAAGAAGTTTGTCTCTTGCAGTAAACTTGAAGGGGGGAGGGGCTAACTCTTTTTAAATTAGCAAAAAAAGGCAAATTCCATCAAAAACTTTTTTCTTTTGCCATACCAGAATTTTTTGAGAGCTCAAGCATCCGTTTACACTTTTTAACGACGCTAGTGGTTTCTTGTTGGGCTTTTTTGGAAGCCAAAATAAAATTCTAATTTTTATAAGTGTCAAAGATGTGAAGGGGGAATCATATAAAAACAGACAAAAATAGATTACATAAATTTTGAATTAAATTTATTTTTTTAATACTTCCTCAATACCAAAAATAAAAGTGCGAAAAGTCTAATAGTCGTTACAAAGTGCTGAAAAAACAAATGGAAGAAATGGAGGAGGATTCTTCCAAATTAAATCAACAAAAACGTAAGCTGCAACGCGAATTCGACGAACAAACCGAGAGCTACGAGGCGATTAATCGCGAATTAATTGCGCTTAAAAATAAATTTCGGTAATCCCTTCATCATTTATCAATTTTTTTTATATTAATTTTACTTTTTATCTCAAATAAAATGCGAGTTTTCGATTAAATTAATGGTATAAAATGATTTACTTCTTTTTGGAGAAGTTTTTTTAAAAATAATATTTAAAATCATATCGGTCGTATTTTTTTCAGGTCGGGCCCAATCCAAGGTAATTTGGATTGTAAAAATATAAGCGCTCAAGCAAAATAAAAAATTTAGATTTATTTCCTTTAAAAGGTAGGTTTTTATAAAAGCTTTAGGGTTACAAAGCCTGCCGCGCATTTGCTAATCATCAGTGAATTAGCTTTTGTACCCTTTGCAAAATCGGTCAAAATTTTATTTTTCAAAATTAGTAATCAGGTAGAAAGGTATATTGAATAGAGATATATTCATAACTTATAATCTTTATCATAACAATTATTATTTTTTAATTTAATAAATATGATGAAAACATCAAATAATATTAATATAAATATTTATGTTTGCATCATTAAAATTAAATCTTTATTCATTATCAGACAAATATGATTTAATTGCCCATCTCCCTTAGTGATACATTATTTATACATGTATAAATTTAAAATACAATTTTTATTACAGCTTGTAGTTTCCAGGGTAAATATCTTTTTTAAGAGAGTATCCAAGTCTAATGTACTACCCAAAGTAATTAGCTCTGCCCCTCATATTTTAGTTCATGCTTAAATTTTTTTATAAATCTGTTTATATATCATTTTTTTATAAATTTAATAATTTTGTTGGTGTGGAAGTAATAAGTTGACATTTTAAAAAATGTATTTTAAAAATGTTAGGCCACCACACTGCTTGTGTGAAGTGCATTATTTTTATTGAAGAACCACCATTTATGTGATTTTAATTATGAGTATTATTTATTAAGATATTTATAATCACTTAAGTTAATATATTGTTTATTTATAAAATAGATGAAATCAATTTATTTTTATTATAAATATCTACGAAAATCATAACTGTAGAATTTATTAATGAGCTTTTAACCCATTTAACCTCAATCATAGAATTTAATGACTGCTATAGAAATATTTGGCTAGACTTCGTATTGATAACAAAATAGATTTGGAAAGCTTTAATTTTTTTACAGTAAGGGATTCATGTTCTTTAGAATGATGCCTTTCCAATTAGCTCCTTGGTCATCTTTAAGTATGATTTAGGAACGGACTGGATTAACTTTAGGGCGAATCAATTAGATTTTTTTAAGGAAAATAAAATAAATTTTTATATTTTAATTTTATCAAACACAAAAAAAAATGAGGTCAATGCAAATATTGTATAATTATAATATTGATAAACATTAGAATTCACCATCAATTTGTAAATCCACATCATATGAATATTATTAGTTTAAAGATTTACAATTCCTCACATCTTGAAATAATATTAAAAAAACAGATTTTTAACTTTGATAATACTTGCATTCCAAGAAAACACAAAATCTAATTTTCAAACAAAAATCTACAAATTGGTTATTTTTTAGATATTTTGCTTACTAAGGAATATGGCTCTAATACTTTAAGTAGTTAAAAGATTGTGGATCGTTTTTAAGTCATAGTGAAAATATTAATACATACTTTCTTATGGATATTAAACAAATATTTTGATAATTTAATAATTATAAAATGGATTGCCCCCTAAAACGACGCGGATATAGTAAAATATATAATGCCACAAGGAAAAGATAATAAACAAAAAAATGTAAAATTATTTATCTTATTTTGGTATGAACCGGTTTGTCCTAATTTATAAAGGTTTTTTTTACTCCTTCAAAAAATTAATTATTATCGTCTTCATATTTTTACAATTTTATTATTATTTTAGTGATGTAAACGTTATTTCAAAAAATACTCGTTATGTTTGAAAAAAGTAACACGTTATCTATTCAAAAAACTAACACGTTACTCGTTAATTAAAAATACTGAATATTATATATTAAAAATATAAAGGATCTTTTTATAATTATTTTCTTAATTTTCAAAATTTGGATCAGATAAACAGCGCCTAGTGCTCTTCTTTGTGCTAAACACACCTTCAACTCGCGCAGAGGATGGGGGGGGTTCTTATATCAATAAATAAAATTGTTAATTGTCGGAATTTATTAAAAATTTAAGAATGATCTTTAAAAAAAAACTCACAGGTATCTTCATTCAGATCCTTATCGAATTTTTTTTATCTATCAGAAGTAAATCTGGTATATATGTTATTTTAAAAAAACCATGATTTTTTTTAATTGCAAAAATTCCTTATGAGAATAATTGCTAATAAAGGGAGCAAATACTTATGTCATTTCTAAATATTCCATTTTAAAAGATAAGTTTTTTTATTTTGTTACATTTTGTATATAATATATTTGATTTATATGTATTTAAACACCTAGGAAGGGATTTTAAGTGTCCTCCCTTTTATTATTCTTTCCTGGGTTATAAAGTTTTGTCGGCTACATTGGAATAAAAGTAGGTGTTGCGAGGACTCACATAATTCTCTTGAGTTTTTTAATGGACAGATCATAGACCAACGTGCGAAATATATGGAACTAATTACTTATCAACTATTTATAATATAAATTACAATTCTAATGCTTTCGGGAAAGCAATATATGATGATATTGTTCAACATATCATCTTAAATAAATATCTTGCAGAAAACATTTTAAAATCGAGATATTAGACCCTCAACCAGAGACATTTAGAAAGGAATGGTAATGGTAATATAAAGGCAGTTAAAAATCTTGAATATCCAAAATTAACCACGATGAGAGTAAATAGAATATTGAAAAAAAATCATAATGTGCGACATGCATAAATAGGGCAAACTATTTTCTCATTTAAAATTGATCAATTTTTTGATCATGATTGTTGTATTGTACACTTTTTTAATGTATATTTTATTTGATAAAGTGATTTATTTTAACAGATGTATTAATTTTTATGTAAAAATGACTGATGATATTTAATTTTATAATAATAAAAAAAATAAAAAGAGAAATTAACAAAATTTTATCACAGTATTCCAATAAAATATATACGTTAAATTAAATAAAATTTCAATAATTATTAGATTCTTTATTCAATTTATAAAAGATGAATATTCTTTTTAAATTACAAATATGAAAATGGTGCCATGTAAAACAAATGTTCCATAAGGGTTATTGCAGTCACAGTTCGCAATTTTATAACCTACTATATTATCAATGCGGCGAAATGATCACTCTTTCAGGTGCAGTATATTCTCATTTGTATTCGACTTTGAGAGAAGGCCACTATAGGCAAATTATTCCAAAATTGGAAATTAATATATTATAAAGGTAAAATAAAAAAAATGAATATTCCAAAATTGGAAATTAATATATTATAAAGGTAAAATAAAAAAAATGAGTATTCCAAAATTGGAAATTAATATATTATAAGGGTAAAATAAAAGGGATGAATATTCCAAAATTGGAAATTAATATATTATAAAGGTAAAATAAAAATATTCAAAATTGGGAATTAATATATAAAGGTAAAATAAAAAAAGGATGAATATTCCAAAATTGGGAATTAATATATTATAAAGGTAAAATAAAAAAAGATAAATATTCCAAAATTGGGAATTAATATTATTAAGATAAAATAAAATAATAAACGATATTTGTTTTGTTGGGAGGAGGTTTTCAAGTGAATATTATTATTAAAGTAATAGCTGAATAAAATATATGCATCAAATTATTCGAAATCTTTACCTAACCTTCTATATTATCTATGACATTATTCATTGGTATTCTTTCAAAGAAATGAAATTCCTATAAAAACCATTTTTTAGTAAAGATATTGTATACGTTATGTTTACTTCGTAAAAAAAATTTAAATCCATATATAAAATTATTCAAGAATATAAGGAAATTATTCCAGGATATTCAAATAATGTTTGCGAAATCATATTCGAAATTATATTAAATGATTTACCGATAATAATGGGGAGATGTGTATGAAAATTTTGAGTATAAATTGTTTACATTATATTCTGTATTCGAATTGGAGAAAATTATGATGAAATATTTAAAAAAATATATTCTATTCTTTATGCAAATTGGGGAAATATAAATTTACGGTATTACAGAGAAATTGTAGCAGGAGAAATTATATAATATTTTTATTCTTATTCGTAAGACGACTAAAACGGCATCCTCCTTTGGACAAAAAAAACCGCATTTCTTTATTCTTATTCGTGAGACGAATCAAACGGCGTCCTCCTATGGACATAAAGCCGCATTTCTTAATTCTTATTATAAAGTCGATCAAGATAATTTATTTTCTGCGAAAATTTTATAGACACCAAAATAAGCGGAATGTTTAAATATATAGTTTGGAGTAAATGAAAAACGTCAGATGTGTATTTATATTTCGTATATTATTGGTCATATATTTTCAATCACCCCTAACACTTGGGTTTAGTAATGGGTGGCATGTTGTATTGTACACTTTTTTAATGTATATTTTATTTGATAAAGTGATTTATTTTAACAGATGTATTATAATTTTTATGTAAATGACTGATGATATTTATTACATTAACGAAATTGTAAAAATCACTTTTTCATTTTATATAAACTTTTGATTCAATTTCATTTTATAATTATAAAAAAAATAAAAAGAGAAAGTTAACAAAATTTTATCACATTCCAATAAAATATATACGTTAATTTAAATAAAATTTCAATAATTATATCTGAATCTCCATTAATTATAAAATCATGTAGATTCTTTTATTCAATTTATGAAGGTTTATTGTTTTTAAATTACAAATATGAAAATGATCAGGCTATAAGTTTATGAATATTACTCCAAAAACCAAAATTTTTACACTTCCATCATCCTTAAAAAAATTATACTTTTTCCTCAATCCTATATATTTTAACAGACTATTTCTAAAATAAAAGTTAGGATTAGAATCAATCGGATATTTTTTCCTGGATCAGGCCTGAACTGAAAAAAATGGATTCTATACAGGGGGGGGGGGTATTTTTATACATAAGGAAAATATTCTATTCCCTTTTTCATTTACTAGTTAATCAGTTCATGCTTGGTTTGAACCCATGGTTATATAAGTATACATTTTTAATATAGATAAATATTTTGAGACAACTTTTAGACTTCTCAAAAAATTGACCTGATATGAATTTATTTATATATATTTTTTTGTAAATAAATAATATATAAACATAGATCTATGTCTTCCCGGACCTCGCGATTCTTTAACAATTCTACCACAGCTAAAAGCATATCACCAAACTTCATATCCAATCTCATCAATCCTTCATCTACCCTTAACAACAATCAAAGCCAAGAGTCACTTAATTTCAATAACGATACCATAACCACTACAGATGAAGACTCTTTGCCTCCCACCGAAATGATCGGAAATTCTAACAACATTAATCCTAACAATAAGAATGGGTCAAATCCTAATATTCCAAACAATTTTTCCACCTTTAATAACAATTTTTGAAAATAAAATTATTTCATGTGACCTTTTGATGTTTATAAAGGTGTTTTTTTCCTCCAATACATGTGAAAAGAGCCAATTTATTTTATAAATTTATACCTATCTTTATATATTTTTCTCACTGCTCACTGATAACAAATAATTGTTAAAAATCTTATGTACCCAAAATTAATTTTTGTGAATCAAATCAAGTTATTAAACTTTAAATTTATTTTTCAAATTAGGACCATGCACCCAGGACCCATATTTAAGCTTAGCTCAACTTTGTGATTTAAATTAAGTATTTCTTCTTTTTTTTTATAACATACTTTTTGATAATTTCATTAGTAATGAACATTTTTTTTATTATATCTAAATGTGATTCTGAATTCAACTTGTATTTTAAAATATTAAAGAAAATATATATATGCTCATCATTTTATACAAAAATTATATCAATTTTCTAACCTCTTGTAAATTTATATATCCTTGATTTTTATTTCCAGAAACATTTGTTTTTATTAATGTATTTATAAAATTTTCATAACCAATAAAGACAATTTTTGTGAATTTTATTCAGTAATTCTAATTCCACAGAATGATATAATAAATACATTTTTTAAACATCTAATTACAGTAAAATAAAAATACTATATAATAATAGGAAGTATATAAATAAATTTTTTTCTTGCATTTTTATAAAATTATTGCCTATTAACATAATTTTTGTTTCTTTTTGGCATGTCTTTTAATGTGCTTTGATAAGTGATCACTACGCATAAATTTTCTTTGGCATAAAGGGCAGATAAATTTTTTTTCACCAGTGTGGGTACGTTTGTGCCTTGAGAGTTCATCTGACCTTGCAAACATTCTATTGCATTCATCCCAGGAGCATACAAATGGTTTTTCACCTATAATATTTGCTGTAAAAAATCATTTTAAAAAATTTGTCTATTTACCTGTATGTATCCGCATATGAGCCTTTAAATGAGAACTTTTAAAGTATGATTTGTGGCAACTTGTAAAATTACAGGTAAAATTTTTTGGTCTATTAAGAATTAATTGATGTCTAGTGCTGTATATTTCTGAATTAACTATTTGAGGTTTTGAATTTAAAATTTTAAAGGGAGGATTATTTGGATGATTTTCAAGCAATAATAAAAGGTATGATGTATTGTTTTGTTCTATATTTGCTGTTGAATTTATATGAACAGGTAATAAAGTGATATATGCATTTTCTGTTTGCTTAGGAGCTATGTATGTATGGTTTGGTTGATGAGAGATATAAGATGTGTCAAGGGCTTGTGGTGGTATTATAAAAGGTTGAGTGTCATTATCAGATGCTATTGCAATACATTCAGATGTGTTATTAATACATTTATCAGATAAAGTCTCATAAACCTTATAAAATTATTTACAAATATGTTATATAACCTATATTACTTTTTCACTTTCATCATCTGAAAAAGTTTTCTCACTTTGACTAGATCCATTTGAATTTAGCTCCCAACTTTTAGTCCATAAGGTCTTTTGCTTGATAGAAGATGAACCATATTGGCTAATCAACAAAAGACTTTCAATGGCATCTATATCAGAAGGTTGATATTTAGATTGGTGATTGAGCAAAAGATTTGGGGGATCATCCTATAAATAATGTAGAAGAACATTTTTTTAAATTTTAGAATACTTGATAGTTAGAATTATATCTATCATGTATAGGAATTGTTTCCCACATTATATAAAAGGTTTAAGCTAATAGAACAATTAAAAATAATAAATAATGGGAGTGGTTTTTTTTTTATATATTAGAATTAATACTTGAATAATATATTAATCATCGTCTCGTTCCTAGAATTTATGGTGAAATCTATTTAACATTTTATCAGCTTTAAAAAAAATTAAAAAAGAGGCGAGCCTTTATTGATCCAATCAAAAACGAGCTCATTTTTATAATCGACAAATAGAATTTCTTGTTTCACGTGAATTAAAAAATGCTTTCACATGCTCTTTTTATAAATTACAAATAACATTTTTTCATTTAAATTTTATATCAAATATATTTTTAGTCTATTTATATATATCGAAAATTCGTTTTGAAATAAATAATAATATAAATTGTGTTAAATCAAAATATAAATTAGAACGTTGTTCTTTTTTAAATTTTATTCAACAAAAACAATTTTGCGGGATGTTTTGCTTCTAAAATTTGTCTCATTTCATGAATATCACAGGCTAATAAAAATGACAGTTTAGGGGAGTTTTTAAAATGAGAAATGGGTTTATTGGGCAAAAATGCCCAACTTTTATTAATTTTTTTAAAATTTCCTAAAAATGGGAAAAGTTTTATATATAAATTAATCAACGACCTGCAGTATTAGCCGGTTCGGATTTTTTTAAAAAAAATTTTTCGGGCCGGCCCAGGTTTTACTGATTTCTTTTAAATATATTTATGATTTTTATAAATAATGGCTATTTCAAATATTTTTTTAAAATTTCAGGCCGGTTCGGGTATATTTAAAAAATCAATATACCGTCGTGGCGGGCTTAGGGTCGGCCTGCAGGTCTTGAAATTAATTTCTTCCACATAGGTCTCAATTTTTACTAATAAAATATTTTCGAAAAAACATTTAAAATTTCCTATCAAACAAAATATTTATTATTGAACTTCCTTCAAGCTGGATCCATTGTGGGATCCAAACATGATTTCGCAGCTGAGCGATTTTTTAAAATCTTTTAATGAGATAAATTTTGTTTATTAAATCAATAATTTTTAGAACATTTTCATTAAATAGATTCAAAAATAAAAGAAAAATTGATCTCTCAATAACAGACTTTTGAAATCGATCAGCTGTTAAATCGTTTCCGTTCGGACTCCACTATGAATCAAGTCTTAGAAAATATATTTAAAACGCACTATCTATATTATTATTATTTTTTAGAAAATATAGAGTTGAATTCTATATAAATGGGGCTCTATTGTAAATATACTCGAAATACGTTTTTTTTAAAATTCAAATCCCTTATAAGTTATAAGTTTTGGAGTTTCAAATTAATTTAAAAAAAGGGTGAAATATATATTTTTGATTAAACTTTAAGCTTTTTCCCCAACTGCCAGGTGTTCAAAGAATAACTTTTTTTAGGCTTGGAAGATATTTACTAGGATATACTTTTACTAAAAAGTTTTTTCTTAAAAAATATCTTAAATATTAAATGTGGAGTTTTAACTAAAGTTTCTCAGACTTACGAAAATGGGAGGTTTAGATTTACATCTATAAAACCGTATATATCTGTTTTCATTTTTGGTATCACGTTTTATGGGCAACGCACGCAATATCTTCTTTTATCATTTCCCAAAATAACCTTATATCTTTGGGGAAAAAAATATCGCAATAAAGGGTTTGCGACTGCGAGTGTCGTTAAAATGCATTCAATACAAAGTGTTCGCGGAAATAAATTTGTATTAATGTGTTAACGATATTATTTTCTCTGTAAATGTATGGCGGAAGAAAATTTGAGGAATTTGTTTCGCGATTTTACTTTTGTTCTAAAATTCCTTCTCAATAAACGGCATTCACCTTAAAAGTATAATGCGCGATATAAGTTTAGTTGAATTGACAAGCTAGGCATAAAAGAAGGGATGAAATGATGCTCTCCGTATGGTAAGGATATTTTGCTATTTTAGTTCTTTTCTTTTTCTCTATTTTAAAAATACTTTAAGATTAATTTAATGAACCCATTGTTAGTAAAATTACTATAATATAAATATTTTCAACCACTCATTATTTTATGGTTAGCATAATTGATTATTTAAGAAATATGATATTTTTAATAGCATTAAACTTGGTAATAAATAATTGCGTATCCTATATGATTTTGCTGGTTTTTCATAATTTAAATTACTATTGTACATGTACATAATAAAACCATAGTATATTTATTGTTTCGCTTAGGGTAAAAAAAAATAATAAAATAAGTAAGAAATTTGATCCTTTTTTTTCTGAGGTCTACTATAAAGTTTTAAATGAATGATAATTAAACGCTAAAGAGTATAGTTTTAATTTTTAAGTAAATATTGTTTTGTAAGAAATGTAAAATTATTTTTACTAGTTACTACCTGTTTCACATTTATGAGAGGGTCAAATATAAAAAAAATTTTTTAAAATTTATTATCAAATTTTTAAATTTCAAGAACAAATTATAATTTAAAAATAATTATGTTATTCATACATCTTTTCATAGTGTTATTTCTGTATTCCTTCAATTTGTAAGTATAATATATTATCCACTATAAATTTTGTATATGCTATATAATAAGTTTATCTGGAATAAGAACTAGTTCGAAATTCGCCTTGATGAATTCTAAATCACTCAATTTTAAACCATTTACTGAGGGGCAATTTTAAATCTAAAAAATCTGATATTATTGGAATGAAATTCTAGCATGCATAATAGAGTACCTAACATTTTCAAATTTAGTAATCGTCCTCATTAAATAGTTTAAAATTGAGAGATTCGGAATCATCTTGAGAGATCTCCGGATTAGCCCGTATTCCAATTAGATCTGCAATGTCCGGCCTGGGGCCGGATCTGAATTTTACAAATTAATAAAATAAAAATACAATCTAGATTATTTTATGGGTTTTTTTAATCATAATATCTTGATCATAATTAGTGGTGAAAATCGCTCCATTTGAGCAGATTTTTAAAAACGCACCAGAAAAATATTGCATAAGCCTCGAGATTTCGCTAAGCAAACCATTTTGCCATCTATGAGCAAGATCTTCAAGATTGCATAATATTTCTCTGGATAAAATACCGAGGTCGTCATTTTTAAGAATCGGCTGAAGGCAAGTGATTTTACTAATCAAAATAATATTTGAATTTAATCCTAAAACATGATCGAATCATCACTGACTAAAATAAGACATTTTATGTAATGTATTAGGCTTATTAATGAATTCTGATATAACTATATTTATTTCTCCCCGTGATAAGTAAAAACTAACTCCCACCAGTGCCGGGGTTAAAAATTTGCCATTTGCACACTTCCAGTTCTACACACTTACTAATATAACTTTAACCATTTTAAATAATAGCGTTCTCTTTTAGTTTATGGATAAAATATTACAAATTTTGGTGGGGTATGAGCTGCAGTTATGAATACTATTTAATTTTTTTTAAAAATTAATCTTATATATTTGAAGAATTTTTTTTTACTTTATATATCTTGTAAAAGTGAACATAACGGGTATAGAATTCAATTAAATTTATTTTAAAATGAATTTATATTTATAATAAAAGCCAATTCAAACATTTTTCACTCGCACAATTATCAATCCACTAATATTTAAAAGTGTTCTATACGTCTAAGCCTAAGTAATGTAGAAATGACCAATATAGTCCTTGAACTCTTTAATTAGTTTTTATGAATTTTATATTTGGATCATTTTCCTCATCATCTTATTTTATTTTTTTTACCCCATAAAATATTAAAAATTTATGTACTTTAATATTCATCCTACTTTTATCGATTGGCGGTCTCATTTTTTTCTTTAAACTTAATCGAAGGCGTAAATCGGCACATCATAATTTATTTTTAAAATTTATATCTTGGAAAAAAATTAAAAAACTTATTTATTTTTGAAATCGTTAAAATTGAATTTTTTTAAAAATGAAACGCTAATATTCCAAAACATCTATAAAAATATTATTAACAAAAAAAAATTATAAATTCAAATTACAATTAAAATTAAAATTTCTTAAAAATTCCAACCCGGCCCAAATGTATGATTTGTTTCAGTCTGATCGGATTTTTATATAATTTTTTCCAATTAAATCATTTTGGCTGTATTAAAATTCGATTTGAATGTTTTTTAATAGACCCAGCCCTTTTAATTTATTTTGCAACCCAGTTTATGACCACTTCTGATAAAAAAAAATGATTTTTAAGTCATGATGTTTCAGAAAAAAGGATGTAATTATTGTTTTATCACCTAGACTTCAATTTTTAAAATCAACCAGCTCGGCCTGTATTCTGCAGATCTCATTTATATTTAGAGATCACTTTCTATCTGGTCTAGTGGAAAAATTTAAACAAATTAATATTTATTTTATTAGATGGGATTATATGTAAAATACAAGCCTAAAAAAATACTCTTAGTCGACTATTATTTAGTAAATTAATTATTTAAATGAAAGAATAATAAAAAATATTTTATTGACTCAATAGAATGGTCTTTCAAGATTTTGATCCCTTAGTTGATTGTCCATGTTATGACAGAACTCCTAGATGCACGATCGCTGCACCCAAAAATTGTTCAGCAGGACTAGTTGATGACAGATGTTTATGTTGTAAAATTTGTGGAAAGGTGGGTAAATTTTTATAAATAATAATTTAAAAAAATGCCTTTTAATCTAAATTTAATTGTTTTTTAAAAAAACAATATTAATTTTTGTTTATGATTTTTCATTTGGAATTTCTTTTCTTCATGATTAAATTAAAAATATTAAATTGATATTCTAAAAATTAAAGGGTTTCATTTAATTTGAAATCAAGCGTTTTATTAACACACTTTAATGAATACTGATTCTTAAGAACGTCAAAATACGAAATTCTCCTTAAAACCATAAAAATAATTAACTACTATATTTATTTAATAAATTTTTACCTAAATTTATTGTGAAAAAAAAAACTGAGTAGAAACTAAATCAGACGTGTGAAGGGCGAAGTAATTGGCAAGGAACATGTGGAAAAGGTTTGTACTGCCTCCATAGTGATGATGACAGCTTGTTGAATTACCCGGGAATATGTGTCAAAGTCAAATCTGGCTAAATTGCGCGGTATGATGTTGTCAAAGTCAAATACACTTTGCCTCATTTATGAATAACACATTGTATAATTTATTTAAAATTCATGATAATAAATATATATTTTTTTAGAAATAATTATCGTAGTTTATTTGATAAGCACTGTTTATTTTATAATAATAAAATATGAAGTATATATGCACAAGTTTTTTTTAGTCAACTAATTCATTGTATATGTTTTTATAAATTCGCAAAATTTGAATTGCGCTGGGACGAAGTTTGGGGTCTTTATTCTTGCATTGAAGATGAACTTTCTCTAGCAAATACCTTTTGAATTGTCGACTACCATTGATATTGCCTAAAAAATGAATGATTAAAGCGTCAAGATTTGTAAAACCACTAAAATAGTGCTGTTAAACGGCTCGATTAAACGGTTAACCCAATATTTAAGCCAAAAAATATTGCTAGGTTTGGGCATCTATTAACGAAATCTCGATGCATGCGTATTATTAATTAGGCTAAAATATTAATTTAAGGCTTGAGCCGTTTAACAATACTGCTCAATTGTATGGGTTCTGTTTAAGGTAAAGTACTGCGATTCGAGTTAAGTTTAAAATAAAAATATTGTTACCAGGTTCGGGTCGTATGAAATATTTGCATATTTGGCTATACAAATGAGAAAACATAGGGACAGGGGCATTCCAGCATGTTTTGCTCATTAGCGATAAAATCAATATTTAAATTCATACAATTTTGTATCTACCGATAGCCCAAGCATTAATTAAAAGATATATAACCGAGTCTCTTAACCTATATAATGTGGTCGTTATTATAAAAGTTTAAAAAAAATATTTTTGTGCGAATTTACCCAATAGCCGGGGTAATGTTTCAAAAAAATGTTCTTTGCCAATAGAGGGTTTCTCATCCTACAAGAAGCTTATTGTATCATTATATTTAAATACATCTGGACCAAATTTTAGGCATCTGACTTTTATGAGTAAAAAGCCGGACTACCCATACTAAAAAAATATTAACAAGGACTTCATAATTGTAATAATTGTTAATGGTGATATATTATATTTAGAGTATGTGTCCAAACTCAAAAATAATAAGGTTTACACAGTTTAGCATTGTATGTCTAGTGAACAGGTAAGTTTAAAATAAGCGGATCTTTATTTTTAAAGTATGAGCTTAAAATAGATATTATAAGAATGGTGCTAAAGAGTTTCTAGTTAAAAAGAATTATAACCTAAATATTTAACAAAAAATGGAATCTAAAACTTTGCTCTCATTTTTCTGGTTTTATAGTAGAGCGCATATTCCAATATGCTCAAATGAATTTAATAATTTTAATTACGTTCATTATCAATTTAAATCTTCATTTTATATGTTATACCCAAAAATGGTTTTAATACTTTGCCGTTTTGAATCCGGGTTCAAAAAAAAATCAGGTTGGGTTTAGTTGCTATAAATTCTAAGGGTTCAGTTCGAGTCAAAACTTAGATTTCACACTTCGTATTCGGGCTAAAATTCTGGGTGCATCTAGGATTATACATCCTTATTTTTAATTATATCAAGAATTTAAAAATGTTTTCTATTTGGGAGGATGATGATTAAAGTATGGAATAATACTAAAAGGTAGATGTAGATAATTATTACCCAAAATGTAATTGCAGACGTCAGGTAACTTCCATATGTCTGCTTTCTCATCGTACAAAATCTGGCGAGACTTTTTGTAACTGAGTCCAATAGGCCATCTTTGTTCCGGCGCTGAAAAGAGTCCGACTTTAGGCTTCTTTCCGCATTTAGTTGTGTTGTGACCTTTTGCGTAGTTAATAAAAGGTAAACTTTCTACGTCGTTCAGTATGATCCTTAAACTATTTGTCAGAAGATATTGACCTAACAACTTTTTTAATGATGAAGTATCGCACATTATTCTGACGCCTCCAGACATTTTTTCAGGATCGGTTAGAAAGGATAGAATAGTAGCGTAATCTAAACATATCTGGAAACGAGTCAACAAGGTATCCAAATGAGATAATGATTGGGATAGAATTATGTTTAGCTTGCCTAAGTCCCCTAAAGGATGAAATTCAGTTAACAGGAAGTTTCGACAATGGCCTAATATTTAATTTCCAAAAAAAATTTATATTATAATAACTGTAAAAAAAAATTAGATGAATTATGATCCTCAAAGTGACAGAATTTTCTATACATATAATATCTTAATAAATCTTATATCAAAATGGATGTAATATATATACTGCTATTATTGGCATCTATTTTAATATTTTCTTACTTATAATAATATAGTAAAAGTCGTTTTCGTTATTGGTGAATTAATATTAAGATAGGATGAGTGCAAGAAGCTGCATCCCAATAATTATAATAATATGAATAACTTTTGAAAACTATAATTTTTAAAATTGATTATAAAATGGGTAAAAACTTTACAATAAAAAAGTGATAAAATATTATAAATATAAAATTTTTGATGTTTTTTACCGATATACTGAGTAATGTGTGGACTAGGTTGCATTGCCATTAAGCTTTTAATACCTGGATTAAAATAGGACTTGAAGAAAGATGGATTTCCACGATTAACTACAAGTACTATATTTTTCCATCTTGCTATATAAACCTAGAAAGTGGACATTCAAATATTTTTAGAAAAAGATTACAAATATATATAGGGTTTCTAAATTCGAAATTTTGAGATTCGATGAATCTGAATTTTAAAATTTAAGATATACAAAAAATTTATTTTAATTTAGTAACATTTTTTTTTCACTAAGTAGAGAGACTGGGGTTAGTCGAACCAATTTTTACAAAATTGGCTATAGCTCTTGTTGTTTTAAAGATAATATAAAAAATAATATATGATTGGATACCTAAAACTATACTCTATAAAGGTGCCTTATAAAAAATCTTAAGAATATAATCATATTTTTAAATTTTATTTTTTGTAAAAGTGAAAATTTTGTTCATCAAGCCCCAATAGCGGGGTGAGGCAAACCACTTCAAGGGGCTTCCTAAACCATTGGTTTTGTTTGGCCATAATAAATTGAAATGCATTTTTATTTATTAATAATGATATGTATAGAATAATTTTATTGTTTTATTGTTCAAAAATCATAATAATTATAAATTGAAACTAATTATTTATAAAAATTGAAACTTAATTTTGGCTAATTTAATAAACATTTAGAACATAAAAAAATATGAATTTCAAGGAGAGATTAAGATTTCTTATCATAAATCCTAAATATCAATCATAAACAGCCAATTGCCTTTTCAAGATTTTGAAATTTATTTCATTATTAATTGCCTTAATTGACGTCTATAGTTTAGCAAACCCCGCTAGCTCTAAATTGACAAATTATTATTGAAATAATATCTAGATTTAATAGATACTCATAAAACTTACCCAAATTATAGAAGAATGTTTAAACTTTGTAATAAAATATAATTTATATATAAATGGTTATATATTTTAATAAAAATTAAAATTCTGTCATGTAAAAATCTTTTGAAAATTTCATCGAAATAAAATTTTGATTAATTAATTATTTCAAAATATATTTTGTCCATAGATATGAAAACTATATTAAGATAAAATTTTAACCTTCTGGTGTATTTAATTTTAAAATGAGATTAAGTGGTTTGCCAAGCCCCGGGGTTTACCTAACCCCAGTCTCCATGTGGCTTTAATTTACATTTATTTATAAAAAAAAATTTTTTTAAATTAAATAATCAAATTTCGAAGAAAAGCCAATGAATTTAGTAATTAGTTGGATAATTTAGAATTAATTTAAGTGTAGAAGTTTGCACACAATGAGAAAACTCTTTCAGAATGTTGAGGTCGGTTCTATCATACAAATTGCATTATACAATTTCCCTTACGCTTTTCAGTATTTTTAAACAAAGTAAAACCTGCTTAAATTTGTGTAATATGTTTCTTCCGTTGCTCATCCTTCTCACTCTTTTATTATCAAGTTATATTTCTATTTTTATAGTCACATCTCGTTCTTTGTAGATCAAAAAAAAATTTATCTGCGAAATATAATCATTTTTATTTGCAAGCCATGGAATTAGTATTACTATCTGTCTCAAAGATTTTTTTTAAACTTAGTTTCAGCTACTAAATTCAATGTTTGTTTGGACGGAACCATATTCATATCTTAAAGGCACTTCGAGATATTTATTAAAGTTGGGTTAATACATTCCTTAATACGCTTTGTAATATTATTTAATTTTAGCGTTTAGATTTTTATGATTAAAAAAATATGAGTTTAAATAAAACAAGTTGGTCTTCGTTAAAGGATTTATGAAAAGCTTTATTAATTAAAATTTTTTTTAGTTAGATCTAATCTTCTGGTAAATCTTAAATCCGAATTCTTGATTAAAGATTCGTCAAATTGGAGTTCTTCGAATTCGGTTTCAGAAACTCTATACTATAATGTATAATAGGTAATGCGAGTTTATTTGTTATTCATTATACAATTAACTTCTGACACTTTCTTCTAAAAAAATTGCCTATTATATCCTTATCCTAGATAACAGAATAGGGATTATAATTTTTTTTTACTTTTTTGATGTTTCCATTACCAATTTTAGGCCCGAGTCTGACATCACTCCGTATATCACTGCAGCTTAACCATGGGTGGCATGCTATCATTTCATTTAAGTAAAAGTAACCTTTTGGGCATCTTATAAAACAAAAAAAATTATGCTGAATTTGTTATCCCTAATAAGATACATTAGCGATTGACTACTCATAAAGAGGGATATTTTTTTTAATCTGAAGATTTTGTCATTCACGCAAAAACTATCATTTAAATTTGACTTAGAATTTACAAACCTACAATTGTGAGATACCCACATTCGGCACTTCTTTATAAATTCACAAGTTTATTCACCCGTATCTTACTTTTTGAAACTGAATGATATACATCCTTAGAATCCAAATATAAATATAAAAACTTATATTCATTGGCCTTATAAATGATTTATATGGGTTTGAGGTTAAACAAAAAATAACTAAAGATCATTTCTCAAGCTAACCAAAGCTTTATTACTAAAACTGTGTTGATATTTTTAAAATAATTTGCTTTGATTCGATCATTATAATTTATAACTAATCTAAAAAGTTCAAAAAATATTTTTTTTAAGAGGGTAGGCTAATTTAATTTTTTTTTATATTTATAATTGTCATATACTTATAATTTATATATATAATAATAAATTTGATTTCAATTTTGGATGACCCAATCGAATCGAAGTTAAAACAATATTATGTGAATATTACCGGGGTCTGCATATAGGCTTCCCATTATTTTTAATATAATCCGGTTCGCATATGATATCTATATTTTTGCTCTCAAAGCTAAATCTTGATGTAGTAGGTAGAAGATTAACGTATTCGCTATATTCATCATCATGTTTAAATAATTTTCCCGAATTTATGGAATTATTTTTAAAATTAACGTTTATATAATTAATCCAATATTTTTGGTCAAAATGCCTCAACAAGTATAAAGCGTATATTAGTAGAAAGGATAGGATAATGAGAATATATTTTTTATGCACCACGAAAGGACATGTCATTAGGTCATTACAATGCGTATAATAAATTGCTTTTATATTGAGTAACCGTGAATTTGTAAGGTTTATATTATGTTTTATAAATGATATGCGATTATGACTGATTACATAAAAAAATAGAAATAACCAATATTTCTATTATAAACAAGGTGGAAGAATGTGACCTATTTGATAGATGGCGTTCACAATATATGGCACCTAGAATATATAAAATATTTAAGAAAATAGTCAAGTAATTAGAGGATATAAATAAATAATTAATTTATATAAAAAAAATTTTATGGAAATAAACCAAATAACGCCTACGATTGAGCCAAATTTCATATTTATAATTTATTTATAAAAATATAATTATGATGCAAATAATATATTATCTTGATTATTTTTATTTTTTTGATTATAATTATTTATTTTAGTTGAAATTTAGTTAGTGTAAAAATCGTATATCTGCTGTATCTTTAGTAATTTCATCCACCCCTTTACTAGCCCACTAGGCCCCAGGCCAGCTTCAAACTAAGCAAAATAAACACCATGTTTTAATGTTGAAATATTTTTCCTACTTATAATAAAATATAAGTTCTTATATTACTGTAAAAATTGAAAAATGGTGGAAAACTTTCAAATAAAAGGATATTTATAAGTAAAAATAAAATAAAATTCTTACAATTGATCTTCAATTCATTAGTAATAAATAGTATAAAGTTTTTTAGAAAATAAGGAAATATTAATAATAAATTTTAGTTTTTATTATTAAAAAAAAAGAAATTTTTCTTTAAATGTAAATTTTCTATCTCTTTATTTTATTTATTATTAACAGTTTTCTCATTATAGTTATAGTAGGTCATTAAGCATGCATCATATTTTATGAGAATAAATAATGGGAAAGAAAAATCAGGTTAATAAAAATAATTTTTTTAAACTATTATTATTATTATTATTATATCTTCTATTTTAAATAAAATGAAATATTTAATATATCAATAAACTAATAATTATTAGTCAGGTAGGAGGGAGGATTAATTTTTATTTGAAATAATTGATTCGTGTACATTTAATAATATTATTATACTTTTTAACCTTTTGTGTTAAATGAGATGGTAACAATAATATATACCCCTCAAAAGTTATAAACGAATTATAAAAGACCTGTAGAATAAGTCCGGAGCCAACCCGGAGCGGTCAATTTAATAATAAGATATTAGAAATCTACCCTGCTTAAAAAAACAAATAACGAATCTGGGCTGAGCCTAGAAGTAAAACCTGGTTCAAGACGTATTTTTGAAAATAAATTTTAATTATATCAATTAACTAGTTGTAAAAATGATTTATATATGGGGAGGAATACTTTTAATTGTAAGTTAACCTTCCCTTCAACAAATGATAATACAGCAGGTAATCCTTTAAAAGGGAGGGGTGGAAGAGCTTAGATCATTAACGCCTATTTTCATAAGATATTTTATGCTAGTAAAAGTAATAGTTAACGTGTTACTGCTTATTATTTCAATTTTCAAAGTCAAAAACAAAAAGTATTTCAGGCAATTAAAAGATCAAAATTTTTTAAAAATCCTGATCAGATCAAAAAATAAAAACCCAGGCCATGCTCTAGAAAAAATGAATACAAATTTGTAAACGGCTCTATTTAGTTGATTTTATAAAAATGGCTAAAAATTTTGTTTATAGAGAGCATAGAGGTTTTGGACATCGATTAGTGAAATATCGAGGCTTAGGTAATATTATTTAGGATAAAATTTGGACATAGCCAAAATCGATTAAATCGAGCTGTTTAACAATACTACTGCCAAAACTGGTGAATGCCCGCAATCCATAAAGAGAACGCTCCTTACAGATTGGATTCGGAATTCGCTCGACGCGCTTTAATAGATGAGCCATTTAAAAATTTTCTTTATTGAGATCAATTTTTCTTTATCATAGAATAATTCTTAGAAACATTAATAGAATTAAAAATAAAATAAATTTTTATTTTAAAAAATCGATCTCATAAACAGATTTTAAAAATAGGTCAGCTGTTAAATTGTGTCGGATCGGATCCCTCATTCAGTTTCGTTCAACAATATTGGACAGATTGATCAAAATCGAGAGAAAAAATTGGCAAGGATCAAATTAAACAAATATCTAAAGGAGCCATCATTGCAGTATCCAGGGTATTCCAGCATTACTGTTGATTTTAGTAAGATGCTTGTTAAAATATCTGGCAGGGTCTTGATGACACATCTGGCAGAGATGGAACTTTGCGGTTCTGGTTTATTTAAGCCATATCGATCTTAAAAAATTATTTATGGTGCTTAGGATACCTATTCGATTGCTTAGGTTTAATTGAAAATATTTCATCTCGAGTTATTTCTGAAACAAAAGCAAGTCTTTGGAATTTATTTTTTCCAACAAATTTCAAACATATGAATGATTTATTATATTGTATGATAAAATAATGATAAAAATTAGAAAATCTCTAAAGGTTCTAAGGAAATTCTACCTAACTAAAATCAAGGTAATGTTCCTAAAGATTCTTATAACACTCAGTCTTATTTGGCTCAATTTATATAACGTACATCTATCACTAGCCATAATAAAAAGCATTCGTCACATGCCATACTCAAGGTTATACTAATCTGGTGGTATACGAAGGATGATGGACTCTCTGATTATGAGACATATATCAGTATCAAAGACTTTCCTATGAAGGGGAGGGAGGGGGGTGGCACTATTAGGTATATTTTCCCCATAAATTCGAATTTGAGATCTTTCTTTCCCCTTCGAATACTAATTTTTGGCACTACTCTAAATTTCTCCACTTAAATATTTTCACTCTAATATTTATTTATTTCTCTATTAATATAAATCTCTCCCACAATTGTATTTAACTAGAGCGTTTTGCGCTCTCTATATAATTTATTTCGTTCTCTCCAATTTAATTCAACACAGCATTTGTACACTTTATTTTCAAAAATTAATATGCATTAACCACTCAAAAATTTCAACAATACTTTTTTTTAAAGCCAAATTACATTTTTTTTAAAAAAACTAGCATCACAACTATTAACTAACCTCACTATAATTTTCCCCATAGGTTTAGGTCACATTCACCGCTTTAAATATAATTTATTAATGCAACACTATAACATTCCCCATAGGTTTCGGTCACGGCACTGGAAAAAACACTCTACCAGTACAACGTTATTTAATACTGATACAATTTACCACCACAACTCTAAAACTAAAGGTAATAAATTCTAAATTTCAAATTTTATTGGCCAACATTACAAAAAAAACATAAAAAGTTCTTTTAATTTTAAAATCTCGTCCTTTATACATTGTTGGACAAAAAAATTACGAGTTCTATGCGTGATATATAAATAGGGCCACTATTTATAAATATGATAAATATTAAACAAAATAACTTAAAAATTAATAATTTTAAATAATTATATGACAAAAATGAATTATCTATTTTATATGGATTCATCTTATGCCTAAAAGACCTAATATTTCTTCCCAGTACTCGCTTTTCGTTTGCAGAATTTATAAAAACTTATGATATCCAATAAATTATTGGGTTGAAACAATTTAATATAATTATATTAATTCGTGCATATTATATAAACTTTATAATATATTAATTGAATAAATGATGTTTATAATAAAACAACATAATAATTTTTTTTTAAATATATATTTTATCAATACAAATCAATTTTTGACTTTGGCACATTTTCCTGGGTAATTTAGCAAATGATCGTCATCGTCGTGGAGGCAATACAAACCTTTTCCGCATGTTCCTTGCCAGTTAGACCTTCCTTCACACCTTTGGTTCTTAGTCTGATATGATGTGTTAATGTATTTTAAATTGTGTCGAATTTAAAAAAAAACAGATTTTTAATAACGGTTTTATGAAAATTAAATATTGGGAAGATCGAGACATTGGATGCCAAGGGCACATAGGACAATTTTCATTTATATTGAAAATAATATAGTTTGAACTTATAAATCTTAAAAATTAACCTTGTTAATTAATTATGATATAAGGTTTATATACCCTAAAAATAACTAAATATTTAATAAACTTCGTTTAAATTTATAATATAAATCTTAAGCTATAAAATATATGTTTATGTACCATAAAAATACCTAAATTTATCTAGTATTTTTCATCTAGATTTATAATACGAATATTAAGTATATACCATAAATAATATATCAATTGAACATAAACTCTGTAGATAGATTTTTATTTAGATGGACGTTTTTGGTATAAATTTAAATCTCAGTAAAGTTGTATTATCAACTATTTTTGAACATAAAGAAGAATCTGAAGAAGCCTTTTGTAAAAATAAAGATTTTTTGGTGAAGTTGTACTTGTGCTATCTTAAGTTCTTTACAAGATTTATCATGCAATTTTTTTAGTCCTTTTTTGTATTTTCTTTTTTTCTAAACTATATATTGTATACATGATAATATAGCTGTTTTAACCGTAATTTCTTTGAGACCATAAATTATTTGATAAATCTTTTTTTTTAAAATTATTATTTATAAAAGTGACCGACCTTTCCACAAATTTTACAACATCTGCAGCGGTCATAAACTAATCCGGCTGTACAGTTTTTGGGTGCAGTAATTCCACATCTAGGAGTTTTGTCATAACATGGACAATCAACCAAGGGGTCAAACTCTTGAAATGCCATTCTATTGAAATAAAATATATTTTAATACTCATAATCATAATGGTTTTCATTAATTACAATACATACAAATTTCTCCAACTAAAATTGACATTTTTAAAGGTATACATCTTATTAGTAAAATGGGCAGTCTATAATTTTTTTAAATGCTTAACGAGTTTAAAATTTTTTTTTAGAAATATTTGCAAATATATTCACCTATATTTGTGAGATTTTGTTGGAAATTTTGCTATTCATTTTTTGACGATATATAATATAAATTTTAAAAAATTTCTTTTTTTTATATTAATTCTTCAGATTGATCGACAATGTTATTTCAACCAAACACTAGTTTATTTGTATTTTTTCAATTTTTGTTATGATTTCATATAAAATGTCATATATTCTTCCAACGAGTAAAGGGCCTTTATACCTCTTTCTTATCCTTGAATCAATCTTAAATATTATTCTTATATTTGACACTGTTAATATTATTCATAACGTTTAAGCTGAGAAAAAATATATATTATTTATAATAGGGGAAAAAACTGTTTAATGGCATTTGCAAAGTTCAGCA